TCTGTTTCTTGGAGATGAGGGGGTGGGGGGATTTGGTGTACTGTAATGATGTTGGTTTCTTTGTGTAGTGTTCCAGCCTCAGGTTGCAAGGTAATGTTGGGGTGTGGAGAGTTATCACTGGGCATGCATACTTCACACCTCAATAATAAAATTATAATTGTTTATGTGTTTACTTTACTCAGTGTTTAGTTGGATTGGATGTAACCCCTCGATAAGTAAAACTGACTATGTAATTGAAACACAATTAAAATGCTTGCCTTAAAGTAGGAAGCCTGACAAAATCAATCCATTTATCAACTTGTTCTCTAATTGCTTCTCCCCAAAGAATACCTTCAAGGTCAGTGCTATAGGATGTGCGTGGTTGCTATAAGCAACACAAATAATACAGTGTATAATTTGATTGAATTAAGGAATTACAATGTTATGAAGTAATTTTGCAGCGGATGTATCAGCGAGCCAATTAATATGGTAATAAATTACTGTACATATGTTTGCGACAGGGAAGCTATATCAAAGGCTTAATTATTATCAGAGTTTCCATGTAAAAATTAAACATACAAAATAATTTTTCTACTGCAGGCCTGGAAAATTTTGAGAAAATTATCATTACGGTTTTTTTGTTTTCATTATGAAAAATAGTAAAAGAATGTAAAAATGTGTATGCATTAAGGTAATAAATCAAAGACATATAAAATAAATGTAACACGAATGGTTGTAACATTTTTATAACGACAGTTATCGGTATAAAATTTCACAGCCAACATGAAAAATAGATATACAGTAGGTGTACTATACTCCAGGTTGATGATAATACAGATGGCAAGAATGTGAATAATAATTTTATTTTAAATCTACAATGATAGAAATAATAATATCAATTCAAAACAGATGCACAGATTATGCATATAAGTGATTGAACTCCAAATAAAGAGAGTCTATGATTCTTAATCTGTGTTGGTTGAAACATAAGAATTATGGCCTCTCCCTCTCTATTATGTTTATCCATTGACATCTGTAGAGTAAGCTATATTAGATTTATCCATTGACATACAGTAGCGTAAGTTTATCCATTCACATAGGGTAAGCTGCATTACGTTTATCCATTCACATGCGTAAGCCGTATTGCATTTATCCATTGACATGCGTAAGCCGTATTGCGTTTATCCAATCACATGCGTAAACTATATATTACATTTATCCATTGACATGCATAAGGTATTACATTTATCCATTGATATGGCACAACCTATATTACGTTTATCCATTGACATAGTGTAAGCTTTATTTCGTTTATCCATTGATGTGCGTAAGCTATATTACGTTTATCCATTGACATAGCGTAAGCTATATTACGTTTATCCATTGACATAGCATAAGCTATATTACACTTACCCATTGACATAGGGTAAGCTACCGGTACATTACGTTTATCCATTAACATAGCATAAGCTATATTACAGTACGTTTACCCATTGAGATGTGTAAGCTACATTACGTCTATCCATTGACATAGTGCAAGCTATATTACGTTTATCCATTGACGTAGTGTAAGCTACATTATGTCTATCCATTGATGTAGCGTAAAGCTATATTGCGTTTATCCTTTGACATGTGAAAGCATATTACGTTTATCCATTGACAAGCGTAAGCTATATTTCGTTTATCCATTGACATATCGTAAGCTATATTACGTTTATCCATTGACATAGCGTAAGCTATATTACTATACGTTTATCCATTGACATAGCATAAGCTATGTTACGTTTATCCATTGACATAGCATGAGCTACATTATAGTACATTTATCCATTGACATAGCATAAGCTAAGAAATTTGTCTGTTCTTTGTGAATGCCTGTCTGTTGACAGTAGTATTATGAGCAAGTTGTAGCTGAAAACGATTGTCACTCGACACAAACTTTGTGTCACACTCTTACATTTTGCAGTCGTAAAAAATTGTGTCTGATGGCGTGTGTTATAGATTTTTTATATAATAAATTTATGAGAAATTTTTAAATAGCATATTATATCATATATTAGATGTACATGAGGTTAAAAAGAATTTGAAGATTTTAATTCCACATTCGAATTACATAATTTATATATCTAAGTAATTTATTAACTTTAAATTAACAGTTTGAATTTTTTTTTAAATCCCCCCCCATCATTTTTCAGACAGAAAATAACAACTATCCTGTATTTTTATTCATGGTTCCTTAAATTGGCTGGTAATCAATTTGAGGGTTTTTGTAGTAAAATATCTGTAAATCAGTGAAAACTATTTTTTTTGATCTGTTTCTCATTGGAAGCTAATAGTAATAATTTATTTGGATCCTTTCATGTGATTTCAAAAATGTATTTGATAGTACATCAATAATATTAGTTTTTTGAGTACTATTATTACTTTATCTTACATTTGTATAGATTTTTTGATAATATGCAATTAATGTTTATTTAATCATAATATTTATTAGAATAAGATTAATAAGATGTTATTTCATATATTATATAATTATCAAAAATGCCACTCTTTTAGATGGAGACAAAAGTTAATAATAATTTATTTAATCCTGATTCTAACTGCAGTAACAAACTAAATTGAGGTTGATGTTTTTGATGATAATAAGTTGGTATATAATTAATATTCTTAAAATTACTCTGAATTTTTATTTTGCTTGCAGTTGAAGCTTCATTATGGTATATTTGTAGTTTGAAATTGCCAAAATCAATCAATGACAAAACATATGGCAGAAGATAAAACTGTAGTTTCATTGTTGCCTAATATTGATAACAGTTGTTTGTATGTTGGAGAAACGAAAATTTATATCACTCTTCACATTACATTTAATGTCTTGAAATTGAAGTACTAATTTTCTACAAAATGCCATCTTGCGTAGTACAATAGGAGTGTTTTCTGTTTGAACTTGTCTCAGTTCTTCAAATTGTCTCATTGTGCATGGTAATTTTAAGTATTGCCACAGGTTGATGGTACTAATTTTAAATTCAAGTAACTCATTTGTGTTTACGTAGCTTTAGTCGACTTCATATCAATTTCAAAAACACAATGTGGTTGATTAGGCGAGACTTTTTATACCTTGTTTCGCAAAAATTTTTTTTTCTTATTTTAGCAAAATGATTTTGCCAAAACGCAGACGGAGGAGAAAATAAAAATAAAATTGTATTAATGATTATTAATTAAACAGTGCTAGTAAATGAAGTTGATAAATGCTTTAAATTTATGTAATTAAGGAAGAAATCTTACTCTTGGAGATTTCAGGGGAGCAGGGAGCATAATAAAAATAAATATAAAATTAAATTTTTTTATGAAATTTTCATTTTTTCATGGCGGATGGTGCGGTAAATTACCAAAATCAACGCCTATTTCGGCGGTTTTAAAGTTCGCTAAACACAGTATACAAAAGGTCTTGCCTTGGAATGGGCCCGGCAGTGGTTCATTGTTTATGGTGCTCAATTTATAAAGTTAGGATTGTATACAAGTTGTGTCATTGACGTACATGGTATCCTCCCAGTCTTATACAATAGGTACAGTATTGTATTATTACACTTTCTGTAACAAATGTTTGTGATTTGCCTATATGGCTATTACGAAGTCGTAAAACGCAGTCACTTTTATCAGCAAATCACAATTGTCCCGTAAAACTTGATACTTTAGGAGTGTGATTCAGAGAAAATTTCAAGCGAATAATTATTTTGAGTATTTTCTTGATACCTAGATACTAAATATAAGATTATTTGGCTCTTAAAATTTGGGGATGTATCCCCAGCATTTTTTATCATGTATTTTGTGTTGTTTGAATTATCATTAATTGAATTATTGTTGACATTTTATATTTGGCTCTATGTATTATCTAATCTTTTCCCGTAGGATGTTTATAGTCAAAATTTGATTCTTGGTTTTAAACTTAAAAAGTTAAAATCATTTATCATTGTTTGTCATTATTATAGTTTGTTATCTTTAGAGTCATAATTTCTACTACAGTTGTGGCAGCCTTTAATTGCTGATTGGTTGGTTGTTTATTGAATAAAAAAAAGGAGCAAGTAACTATATTAAAATTGCATGTCTAGAATTCTCAGACACTGAATAAATTACAAAATTGAATGTAATATTCTTTTATAAATATTGATGATTTTTAAAATGATTTGATTAGTATACAACCAAGAAGTTGCATAGCATAATGATTAGTAGTCACCATGGAAATGATTTACTACAAGTAATTTAATTTATGTTGAGTATTTTATCTTTTATACAGAGTGCAGCTTTGTTTGATAAACTCGCTCAGTAAAAATCCATTGTTGTAGCCCCTGGAATATTGCCAGGCTTATCTATACTTGAAACTCATTCCTAAGGCATCGATATAATGTAGCAGTGAAATGAATACATAACATTTATCTTTACATGACGCATATTGAAGTACTCATAAAAGTTTATACACTGCCATAATAATCAGTGCCATGGTAATTTCTCTGTGATTCTGATATAAACATCCTCAGATCATGATCCTTGGTTGGCTGTTATGGAGAGTATACAGTAACCTCTTTAGATACACTACACGGACGACAGTTTTACTTTGAAAAACAGAGATAGGTATAAAAGTGGAGTCGGAGAGCCAAAGTGAATTTTTGATTTAACACTGAAACTTTGATGTTTCCGGCGTTCTTCCAAAAACCTTCATGCACTCTTGCTTTTATACTGCTTTTATACTGCTTTATGCCACTTTCATACGGATGATCAGTGTCAGGATAGTTGTTGGGCCGAACACATAATATTGAAGTACAAATGTACATACAGTAGCATCTTCACTAATCCAAAGCTTAATCTACAGTATATAAATGCAGTATGTTTTACCTTAAAAGATCACAAAGGTACAATAAATTAAGAATTTAAATTAATTAATTTATTAATTATTTTAATTATCTAAAGAGTCCCTATCTTGGAAATGTTTTGTCAGTAATATTCAGCATTTCTTTTCTTTTTTTTAGGATGTGGATTTGGTATTGATTCTCGGGTTGAGATTGATCTAATAGAGTCTGTACTTTTCAACTTGGGAGATGTCATTCAAGTCCCAGGAACCAACAGCAAGGAACCTGCTCTTCTTTTTGAAGGTAAGTGCTCACAATTCCCCTACAAATGTGAGTAAACATTTTAAAGAAAATAATGTACTGTACATCAAAAAAAATCATTAAAAAAAATTTTTTTTTTTTAAATTTCCAATTCTGTCATGGTAGCAGGTATATGCTAACAAGGCAACAATAGAATTTTATTTTTATTCAAAATAATATTGAAACATTATCATTTTATACAGAAAATGACAAGACTAGACGACTGAATGTTAGCTCTGCGGACCTAGAGAAAGCCCAACGACTTCTTCTAAATGCTAAGGAATATACACTCATGGGAAGCTTCAAGCAGACATCAAAGAGTCAGGGAACTCTTATTGCAATTTCAGCTGGAAGTAGGAAGTAAGTTCATACATAAAACTAAATTCACATCTAATGTTGTAGAAACCAATAAGATACCCCTATTAAGATGACACCCCTATTAAGGTGGCACCCGTATTTAGAAGATATATTTTTGGCAATCAAGGAAGAATATGTCTTTTAACATACCCCCACATCCCTACATCCTATTAAAGACACATTTTTGGTACCCTCTTAATTGTCTCTGAGATTCTACCATATGTATTTTTATGATTACAGTATTATATTACAGCTCTAGACATTTTAATTTTTATTGTGCCGGAAAGCTGTTCAATTTGGTAAAGTCAGTTGAAATTGTCTATAGATACAGATGTTTTTATTTTCAGAACATCATGCTGGGATTTGAACCAAGTATCCTAACCCTGCTTAGTTGTCATACCAATTGAGCCACAATATATTCTGCAGAGCTTTAATGGGCAGTTAGTAGTTATCATGTTAGCGTTTACAAACTTTAATGACAGCGCAAGACAAATTGTCGCCAGTAGTAAAGATCTAGCAATAACTATTTTCGGTTTCCAGCCAACATGAATACATTTACTATTCCTTTTTGAATTTTTTTTGCATTTGAAATCAGTGGAAGTTTTTGAAATAAAGTGTTTAAAAAGATTAACTTTCAAGAAACTTGAAAATATGGGTCAGGTTGTACAAAGGTTATAAAACATAATTTGGGTCTGAGTGCGAGTTCAGCTTCTACATAGGGTCGCCTTATATGTCAAGATTTATGGTGTTTTTAACACAACCTAAGATTCTCTTACACAGAAATGGACAGCCGTGATGATATATTAAATTTAATATCGTGTTATAAACAGTTATTTTAAGCATCATTTGTAATAAGTTACGTATATCAAGTGATGTGCCTCAAATATCTTTTTACTTTAACTCTTTTACTTCTTGAATCCCTGTAATTTAGATCTTTGAGTACATTCAAGTTTTCTAAATTTAACCCTATGCTATTTACCATGAAGTTTAATGTTATGTCTGATGTGAAATTTATACAAGCCCAGTTGCAGACACAGATGTCATGATTACTGTAAGGGGCAGGCATGAGCGATTCCTACTATGAATTTGTTATTTTTAAACTAAAAAAAAACAAAGGTGAAGTTAATTAAATGAAATAAGTTTCTTCAAATACTCACTGACAGCAATGAGTGTCAACTCATTAACTTCATTCCGAGTATATGTGTCGCCTTAAGGTGGATTTATGTATACGCCATAAACACTGCGCCTTAATAGTGTTCTGAAAAAAAAGTGTTGTTTCAGTGAACGTCGAAAATTCACCTAGATCTGAGATAGCTTCTGAAAATAATGGTCTAGCAAATCATTCAGATTCAGGGCTTTAAACTTTTGAAAATGAATGGATAAAGTTGTTTTTTTTTTAATTAAGTTTTATTTATTTGATTATTGTGTTTTCTTTTTTGAATGTGTATCATATAATCATTATTTCAAACTCATAAAGTAGGTTTAGTTAGAGATCTAGAGATCTATTGCAGAATTTTATTTGTTTAATTGAATAATTAAAAGAATGATTATAATCCTCCAATATTTATTATTCCTAATGTAAGACAATTCTAATAAAGTTAATTTGATGATAATTACCCTAATTTTATTATGATCACAGATGTACAATTAAGTAAATCAAATTGATGAAAATTTAGCATTGAATTTAACAATTATTATATTGTGTGGGTTAGTGGCCTTTGGGCTTCAAGAATTGCCCTGCTACTTGTTGAAGGAAACTGTCTAACACGGAATGATAAATTATAATGCTTCATGTATAGTTTCTATTAAAATAGTTGGAAGTAATTCATGCAAATTCTTAACATTTTATACTTGTGGCTCATTCTCTTGACTTCTCAAGTATGCATTTCTTTTAGGAATCAATCATTGATAATATATAATTGCTATATTTTGGAATTTTGGTAAATTCTCACAGGTATACAAGAGAGGAGATCTCTTTCAGATTTTGTGACATAATTTCACGACTCAAGCAGTATTCATTTCCCTTACAGTTTGTCATTCTATATCGTATGGTGAGGGAAATGATATATATCTGTGGTAATTATTTTGGTAATTTAATGCAATTATTTCCCTAGCTGCAATATGTTGTAACATAGCCAAAAATACATACAGTAGTTTTGTATGTTGATATTGTGGGGTTAAAAAAAGAAAAAGTATTTCAATTTATTATTTGCTTGTTTATTTTATTCTGCTATTATATATTAATATCATATTTTGTATGATAAATGTATGTTCAAATATGTGGATGTATTCACTGAATGCTTTATACCATGAAGCTCAAAGTTATTTTATTTCATTTCTTTCAATGGAAGAGCAAACAAAAAAGGAAGTCCTGGAACGAAAGGCAATTAACAAATTCATTTAGTCTACAGCTGCATACAGTAGAATGATTTGTCTATTGTAATAACATTGGATTACTGGTTATGAGAATTATAGTTATTAAATAAATAAAATAAATATATATATACAGTAGTAATAATAATAATATACAATAGAAAAATAAAATTTCCTTCAGTTAAGCACTGCATTCAACAATGATATGTTTTAAGTGATTAGGTTGGATAAGAAAACTAAGCTCTGGTATTTGATCCTAATGTTCCTTTTTTTTTTCTTGTATTTGTATGCTCTCAAGCTTATTGAGATATGTTATTGGTATTTTTGTATAATAAGTAATTATTCCAAAAATAAGTAATATCATTCCAATGTTATTTATATGAGGCTTGCTATCCCAAAACCAGTGTACTGTTGCTAATAGTAAACTGAGTAATTAGCATAAAAATGTGGCAGTATTGTATACTTTAGTACAAAGAAGCTATAATACTTTTTACTCATATTTTCTTTGGCAATAGTAAGTCTATTCCAGTAAATGGCCATCATTTCAAACTTATAATTTGGAAATTAAGAAAATTTTAAAAAGTAAAATTTTAATTTTTTGGTCATGGACTGGTTTTGGGATGGCAAGCCTCATTATGGTATAAATAATGGTTCACAATTTTCTAAAATAATTACGTTTTATCTCTATGATGGACACTCATTATATTCATAGTGCATGGCAAAGCAATCTTCTCCAGCTTCTGAGTTTCAGTCTTTTACATAATATTTCATCCATTTAATCTTTCATCTGTTGTTTTATGATCTTTATCCAGTGACGCATTCAAGATAATAACCAAATTTCTATTGAAAACTACAGTACTATCCTCTTGCTACTCATTTCAATTAGCAGACGGTCTAAAAATGTTTTTCTCTAGTCGGAAGCTCAGGATTGTAGTGTTTTTAGTCAAATATATATTCAAGGGGGTGGGGGCCAGGGAAACGTTATCCAATAGGGGTTATAAACTTTTTGGGTGGCGCCAATAGGGTTAGGACATGAAGCTCTGGTAGGGCCCAGACGGCCCCTGACGCCTAAATAATCAGGCCAATTTTTTTGGGGGTCATTTCATGAGATGTTTGAGATTTTTTTTTTTTTTAGAATTCGAATATATTTGGCGCCTTTCACATTCCGGAGAATATACAAAGGTGCTGGCGTCAGTATCTTCCTGGTCACAGGATACTTCATGGGCGAATAACCACATTTTTGTGCAACTTTCTCTGCTTCCTGGGGAGTATCCCTAGTCAAGCTGCTTTACATGCACAACCACATACGTTCAATGCCACACCATCATACCAGCTATCCCATTATACTCCTGGGTGGAGAGAGGCAAACATAGGTAAAGTGCCTTGCCTAAGGACACAAACAATGCGATGAGCATTGGTCTTGAATTCCCGATCTCACGATCAGAAGTCCAACACCTTGCACAATGCACCATACACGAAAAATGCATTATGCCTAATAAAAGAATTTTTATATTTCATTTTTTGGTTGTACCACTCATGGCCAACAAAAGACTGCACTTGTCTGAAGGGATGTAGCTCACACTGCTTCCCACTGGTTGTTCAAACATTTTTCTTTGATTTTCTGTATAAATTTATTTCACAATAGTATTGGTACACATAGTAAATAAAGCATTAGCCAGTGAAATAGATACACCAAAGCTGAGATGGTTGCCATAGGTTAAAGTTGAATAGAGATAGAAGACTTCCAAAATTAATGTTCACATGACAAAGCAGTATGGTGCCCAATGATTTATGTTGTAAGGTTGGGTTCGAACCGCCCTACTGCATACATAGTTTTTAAGTCGCCTAACAATCAGAGATACACCATATTTATTTGAGCATTACAGAATTGTAATTGGTACCTTGCAATTTGATTCCAGATTGTTGATATTACATTAGAAATAAATCTCTTTCTTGGTATAGACTTTCAATCTCTTTTATAATCCAGCAAGTCTGAATGCATAAGATTCTATTTCATTGTACAAGATAAATTAGCAATGAAGTCACTCTTTATATAGAAGATAAAGATAATTAATTTGTTAACATTTATCATTAAAATGACTATCAAATTGAAAGCATTTCTATTTCAGAGACCTTTCCTTACTGTTGAAAATATATTCCCACTGGTGGTCATGCAGATTATTACTAGCCAGACTATTGATCTGCTCACAGTACACTAAATTGTATTTAATTCAAAATGATGATAGTCTGGTAACTGGTAATGCATATTAATTGTTTTAAATCAGTAGCATCTCAGAAACAGAAATGGCTGGTGTGGGGGAGTTGGGGTCTATACACAAATTTGTTTCTGAATTACAGTCGGCTCCGGAGGAAAAACAATTTTGATATGTTGTACAACTAATTTTACTAAGACACAAAAAGAGTGTTTGACAAACAATTTTTTGAACAGTTTGAGATTTTTGAAAAACTGCCCTTTTCTCAACTTCTCCCCCCAGTTTTTGAATATTTTGGGTGTTAGAAAAATCAACTACACTGCTTTAAGGAGGTTGAATCCCTTTCAAATTTTTGATGCAAGGAGTGATGCTAAAGCCCGGGGAGCTCACTTGCATACCAACCAAACAGGTGGGTGC